AGAGTGCTCCAGAGCAAGCTGATTTATGCAGCAGCCCAATCTCACTCGCTCACAACTTTAATGCCAGCAGCTCACAAAGGAGAATTTTGGCTCCCAGCTTAGAGGGAGCATTGCTGCCAACCAATGCTCCCTCTAAGCTGAGGAGTCCTGTGAGCAAAAATCCCGCTTTGTGAGCTCCTGGCATTAAAGCGGTGAGCGAGCGCATTTGGCTCCTGCATGAATTTAGTTTGCCCTGGAGTCCTCCTTCCCGAGCTGAGACTAAAAGGTGCGAGCCTGAGGCCAAAAAACTGTGAGCTGGCTCACACTCACTCAGCTCAGAGGGAACACTGCTGCCGACCCTGCTCGGCTTCGGAGATCTGGCAAGATCAGTCTGGTTGGCCATCGCCTGTCTCTTCATAGTAAGCCTGGACTTCCGTGGTGGTGGAAGTACCAACCACTGCCGACCCTGCTTCGCTGCCGAGATCCGATGAGACTAAGATGATACTGTGAGCCTCGAAAGGCCTTACGATCTGCTAACCAGCATCTCCTGGTGGTTCCTGGCCCCAGGGATGTCCAACTTGTCTCAACAAGGGCCAGGGCTTTTTTGGCCCTGGCCCCTACCTGGTGGATGAGCTCCCATTAGAAATCAGGGCCCTGAGGGACCTATTACAGTTCCACGGGGGCCTGCAAGACAGAGCTTTTCCACCAGGCTTTCAGTTGAGGCAGCAGGTGCCCACCTGTTATCGGCCTCCCCACCAGTGACCTCAGATCCGAATGGCCACCTGGGAACAAACTGCTTCTTGTTGAAACCTTTTGAGGCATCGGTCTTTTATTGATTACTGTTTTTAGATAGGTTTTTAGATATATTTTAACTGTTGATTTGTTGTACTGTGAATTTTATGATGGAACCTGCTCTGAGCCTGCTTGTGGGGAGATAGATAGATAAATAAATAAATATAATGTTAAAAAACCTATAGTGATAAGAAGTGTTGGGAATAAGGCCTTTGTCATTGGCATGCCATATATCCTGTAATATAATAGACTTTCACCAAATTTCTGTGGCACTCCACATCAGCTGCTGCTTTTGAAGAGTGTCCAGAAACTTTACTTGGTCCTGAATATTAGCACAACCCAATGCAGAAGAGTATATACCAATCTGGGCCAACTGCATTAAGCCTAGGGCCTGCGAGACGGAGCTCTTCCGCCAGGCTTTTTGGCTGAGGCAGCGGACGTCCCCTGTCTATCGGGCCTCCCCTTCAGCAGGTCAGATCTGTGTCGCCATCTGGGAAGCCCGGTCTGAAACAGACCTCGTCTGTTGAGTCTTTCATGAGAAACGCAGGAGTATTATTGTATTTTTTCCGGATGTATTTTAATTGTTCGTGTATTATATTTGACGGAACCCACCCCGAGCCTGCTATGCGAGGAGGGCAGGATACAAATCTAATAAAATAAAAGTCACCTGGACCATCCAAGGCAGATGAACAGAGGTGGTTTTTGCCCTCGCATGCCTCTGCATAGCAACCCTGGACTTCCTTGGTGGTCTCCCATCCATTTACTAACCGGGGCCGACCTTGCTTAGCTTCTGAGATCTGATGGGACTGGGCTAGCCTGGGCCACCCGGGTCAGGGCTGCGGTGAATGGGGAAGCCCCAGGAGAGGCTGAAGTCCTTCGGACTTAGACGGGGGCAAGCCCGGAGGCCCACAAAGGCAGTCTTGGTGGGTCATCTCGGTCTCCTTTCAGGAAGCAAAGGGAACTCGGAGCATCTTGAGCTCTGCTGTAAACCAGAGCCAGTTTGGTGTCGTGGTTAAGTGTGGGGACCAGTGTTCCCTCTCAGCTGAGTGAGTGTGAGCCGGCTCACGGGTTCTTAGCCTCCAGCTCACAGATTTTTGTCTGAGCTCAGGAAGGAGGAAACGAATTCATGCAGCAGCCAAATCACCTGCTCCCAACTTTAATGCCAGTGGCTCACAAAGGAGAATTTTTGCTCAAGACTCCACAGTTTAAAGGGGACATTGGACGGACTCTAATCTGGGAGAGCCGGGTTTGATTCCCCACTCCTCCTCCACTCACACCTGGCTGGATGACCTTGGGCAAGCCGTAGTTCTGACAACAGCTGTGCTTGAAAAAAGAGCAGTTTCTGTCAAGAGCTCTCTCAGCCCCGCCTACCTCATAGGGCAGTGATGGCGAACCTTTTAGAGACCGAGTGCCCAAGCTGCGACTCAAAACCCACTTATTGATCGCAAAGTGCCAACACGGCAATTTAAACTGAATACTGAGGTTTTACTTTAGAAAAAACAACTCATACATTAACTTAAGATGATCCAAACAAAGCAAGGAAAGCAATCCCAAATGCTTTCATTTACTTAAAATTATTTGGCAGAGAATTCGACACTTTAATGACAGTCTGGGCCTGGCTGGGGCGATGGCACGCATGCCCACTGAGAGGGCTCTGAGTGCCACCTCTAGCACCCGTGCCCTAGGTTCGCCACCACTGTCATAGGGGGTCTGTTGTGGGGAGGGGAAGGGAAAGGAGTTTATAAGTTGCTCTGAGACTCTGAGTGAAGGGCAAGGGGAATAAATCCAATCTCCTCCTCCTCCTCTTCTTCTTCTTCTTCTTCTTCTTCTTCTTCTTCTTCTTCTTCTTCTTCTTCTTCTTCTTCTTCTTCTTCTACAGAAACTTTCCGAGTGTTGGCTCGTGAAGGGAACGCCCCATCCTCTTTCCAGCTCTTTCCACCCTTCCTTCCTCCAGGGGGGAAAGGGCAGAGCCCCGTGGCTCTTAACTCCCTCTGAAACGGGGCGTAATTACCGGGCGCTTGGCAGTCCTCCCCTCCAAACGGGAGGCAGAGGCCGGAGACAGCTTAATGCGTTTTGTTCTGAGTTCTCTGAGAAAATTATGCTCAGCAGGTTTATTCAATAAAATGTTCTCACCGGATACTTTGCGCCATAACGACTTACAAATTAGATGCTAATTGTGCCACAGCGAAGTCGTTCCATCCTTGAAAAGGAGAAATGGGACTCTTGGAAGTGAAGCGGCGCCCGCAGGTTTTGATAGCTTAAATGGTGTCTGAGTGCGGCCGCAAATGGCTTCGATTGCATGGGATTGTACGGAGGGCGGGAGCGAAGGCACAGAAGTGAAGCACCCCGTGCTTTTCGCCGCGGGAGACGTCGCTTGACAGGCCGGCTGAACTTCCTCAGCCCCCGGATCCTTCTGCTTCGGGACTCAGAACTTCCTCGGCGTGGGCTTAAAGGCAAAGGAGGCTGGACTAGAAGGGCCACTGGTCTGATCCAGCAGGGCTCTTCTGATGTTCTTAGCAAGGCCTCGGCCTCTCTGCCCTGTTGTTGGCCATCCAGAGGAACCGGTTGGCCCCCGTGTGAGACAGGATGCTGGACTAGAGGGACCCTCACTGGTCTGACCCAGCAGGGCTCTTCTGATGCTCTTATGAAGGCCTCGGCCTCTCTACCCTGTTGTTGGTCCTCCAGAGGAACTGTCTGGCCCCTGTGTGAGACGGGATGCTGGACTAGGTGGACCCTCACTGGTCTGACCCAGCAGGGCTCTTCTGTGGTTCTTATCAGGGGAAGGCCTCAGCCCCTCTGCCCTGTTGTTGGCCCTTAAGAGGAACTGGCTGGCCCCTGTGTGAGACAGGAGGCTGGACTAGGTGGACCCTCACTGGTCTGATACAGCAGGGCTCTTCTGTGGTTCAGAGGTGGTCCTTGTGACAGACAGGCAGCACGGCTCCTGAGGCTGTCCCCAGAGTAAGTGTCTTGTCTGTCAGACACAATCCTCTAGCAAACGATGAAGTCCTGGCCACGAAGGCTGTGTGAGCCCCCCAGATGTTGTGAATTATAGACCCGGGCTGCTGCCGTGGCAGAGGTGCCGTGAGCACCCAGTCTGCGTGGGCGGAGGTGGCGACAGTGGGGTTTTGGCTACCGCCCCACCTCAGTCCTGTCCTGCAGAAGTCCTGCCTGCAGCTAAGCTAGGTATCGGTCCTGGGTGTGCATGCAACCATTTGCAAGGCGGGAGCAGAACCTCCTGCCTTGGGGCCGAGAGAGACCTTTCGCAGCCCTGCTTCAGGGGGAAGGCTCTGAGGTGCTTTCTTTGAAACCCAGCGGCCTCCCTTGGGGAGCAGACTGTTGCCCTGGAGAAGATGCACGGGAGCATCTCGCGGCACCAGTACTGGAGGGGGAGTAGTGTATGCGAAAGAGATCTTGGGGTAAGGGTGGACTGTAACCTGAATATGAGCAGTCAGTGTGATGCGGTGGCAAAAAAAGGCAAATTCAGTCTTGTTGTTGTTCAGTCGCACAGTCGAGTCCGACTCTTCGCGACCCCATGGATCATCTCCCGCCAGGCCCTCCTGTCTTCCGCCGTCCTCTGAAGTTGGCTCAATTTCATGTTCGTTGCATCGATGACACTGTC